TAAAATATGAAAAATTAAAGGTGAGGAAAGGAAAAATGTTTTTTAGGGAATATTGTGTTTTCTGCAAAGATGTGTTTAGTAAATGATGATATAATGAAAATATATAAAGTCATATATTTTATTATGAACTAAGTGTTTATTAATTTATTATAAAGAGGATATATGTATATTTTTTTTATATATCACTAAAATTCATATAATTATATTTTAATCTAATTATTAGTTATTATGATTTATACTTAAATTATTTACATCAATGTATATTATATTGATGTATCAAAAATTATATTAAAAATATTCTTAGAACAATATTTATATTGACAGATTATATGTATATACCGATAAATGTATGCATTTATCCTTGTTGGCGAGAACATTATATAAATATATTATAGCATTTTTAATTATTTTGTTTTAGTTTTCGTATAAATTTGTACATAAAATTCATGGTTTTATAGTACGTACTGTGTTTTATAATAGATGAATTCTTTTGTAATATAACTTTGTAAAAATATTTTTATGATTTAATTATTTTATACAATATTTTTTAGTTGTGTACTTGAATAAGAATGTCATTCCTTTAGAATATATATATATATAAGTTTGTTCTAATTAGAACAAAGCAAAAGATCATTATTTTAGCTAAAAATTTGCATATTTTAATGTAAGTCATTTTTTCTGAAAATATTAACAAAATGTTTCATGCTTTTTATTAAGTTTGTTTTTATATATATTAGTACATACGTATATATTCGAAAAGTGAGTTATACTTTTAATTATGAATTACATATTATGGATTGATTAATTATGTTTTTAAAATATATGATTATAATAATTATATGTATAGTTATATTAATGTACATGTAAATTATTATTTCGTTATTTAATATTTTTATAAAACAGTTTAGTGAGTATATTTTAAGAGATAACATCTCATTGTTATCTATATATTTAAGTTATTATATTCAGCAATATTTTCAAAAACTTTTAAAAATTATGCCACTATGTAAAGAATGATATATATGAATAATGTATTATACGTAATTTTTGAAATTTCATTACGCACGCTTACACTACTGAATTATATAAATCATTTTTCCCCATATAATGTTTTTGATTTCATGTAACATTTATAACATAACATATTATATGTAATTATAGTTTTTTTTGTATATATATTTTGAATGTATTAAGTAAAATTATGTTCTTTATCGTAAGGATGGTTCTCTAGTTATTTGTTTGACAGATGATAATTAGAACATCTTAAATTATTTGTACCATATATTTCATTGTACATTTATTTTCACTTTGCTTTTTTGATATGTATCCATGAAAGAACTCAAATATATAAATATATATAAAAAAATCTAAAAAATATAATAAAAGCACATAAATATACAATAAAAATATTCTGGAAAATATTTACTAATAGTTGTTGTATAATATTTAATGGTAAGGTATAAAAGAATATTTGTCTTGCCCATAATAAAAAAAGTAAATTACAGTAAATAATACATAAAATAAATATAGATCTACAGTTGGAAAGAAAATATAACCTCATTAAATGGTTTACAAAATGTATTGGACAGTATTTTATATTATGTTTAATAAAAAAAATTTTCATAGTTCTTTTCTTGATATTCTTGATCAACGAATAAAATTGTATTTCATAATTTTATATGATATATTTTAATAATGCATATATATACATATAAAATATTAGAGAACCTTATTAATTATTTTTATTTGATTTATGAAAAATTTTATTAAATTACATTGAATAATTATTAGCATATGACATATATTTATTTCTTCCTTCGTATTTTTATATAGGGATCAGGTAACAGAGATTATATTTATGGTTTTATTTTCATATAATATGTATTTTTACATATAATTTATGGGTATTTGTGTAATTTAGGCGTATTATATTAACATGTAATATATGTACGTGTGAAAAATTGACTATCAAATAGCATTTACTATCATGGAAATTACAATGTAAAAATTATTAAATATATTATTTTTGCTATTTGCTTATTTAGATATTTGCATCTATATTATGTATATATATACTCTGTAATATATACATGTAATTGAAGAATACGTCCAATGAGTGCTGAAATATATATATATATGCATTCTATATATTTATAATATTATTTTCCTATTTCTATTATTTTATTATTCTTAATAATAATATACACTTTAAACATAAAGGAAATTTCTTATTCTATAACCTTTGAATTTGAAACGCTTATGTATTATAAATTTTTTAATATAATTCTATGTCTTTAAAAAACTGTATCACACAGATTATGATATATTAGTTTTAAGAACACACCTGTTATTACAATGTTCTTCGAGAGATGCTAAATAAATTAACCCTAGTAAAATAAAATCGTAACTACAATAATATATAAATGCATAAACAGTAAAGTATAATGACATGAATATGCATAATTCAACTTTTTCTTTTAATATATAGAATAATGCTATCATTGTGCAATGATTTTATGTCATTGAAATTGTACGATTTATTTATATTAGCTAAACAATATGAATAAGTAATAAATGTAATATAAATTTTATCGAATTGTAACATATAATTGTATTTATTTAAATGTATTATAAATAATATATTTTGTTAAAATAATGTTTATATTTAGCATATAAGAAGACATATGCATTATTTTAATATACTATAAAATATAAATTTATTGTTCTACAATATACCATATTAATTAAAATTATTTAATGTTATCATAAAAATAAAACCAGTATATTAATAAAATATAAATATAGATTTATTCAAAAAAATATTTCACGTACATTTAATTAAATATAGATTATAGTTTATATTATTATTAATTTATTTTGATAACATTTTTTTTTTATATATACCTATATTTTGTAAAAAATATGTAAAATATTTTTCTGTCGTTATTTATAGCATCAATTCAATTTGAAACATTATATATATAAGAAAACGTTTACTTATGTATGAAAATTATACATATTAACATAATACAACCAGCACTAATATTCTTAATTAGTGTAAGCATGATTAATCACACATTAAAGAAGTTAAAAATATTTAAAAATACATGCTCTATAATGTAAAGGCAGATACCTTTTACTTTTAATTTAATATAGTTTAATTATAAAATTTGGAAAATCTCCTTATTTGAAAGTAAATTCATGCTAAATCTGTTATTTTTATATTAATTATTTAACTAATTATAGGAAATAAAATAAAATTTTGTTACAAATTATTCTTTTTTCATATTATCCAAGAAATAATGTAAGATTATAATGAGTATGCTCATATTGATAATATATATAAAAAAATATATATAACTTTATAATTTGGATCATTGTTTAGATTCATATTCAATACAGTGGGTTGTGCAAGCTTACATCTCTTTATCCTATATATATAATTAGATATGAATAAAGAACATGTTAAAAGGAAATATTAGAATGAAATGTTTAAATATCATTCTAGTATTTAAATTAAATAATTTATATCCCATATTCATATAGTTATATATAAAAATATTACAATTATTTTAATTATTGTTTTCTTACTTATTAAAAGAAAAGAATGTACAAAACAGAGTATACACAAGATTTAGTCATTTAAGGATAATTATAAATATTAATAAATGTATTTAAAAAGAAAGAAACTAAAAATTTTTGCATCAAAAAATACATGGCTCAAAGAAAAAAAAAATATAGTGCTTTAATTAACACTCATGAAAAGTATTTATTAGTCCTATAACTTATATATATATTTATAATATTCGAGGAAAAAGTATGTTCTTTGGATAAACTGAAAAAAAAGGTACTAAAATTAATATATACTATAATTATTTATTGGATTGTGGATATCTATTATATCTCACTATATGTTTGGATACAATATTATTATTAAATAAATTTATTTTACATTTTATTATAAAAAAAATTATTAAAAGTTCCTATGCGTTAATGTGGTATATTTAAATTTTTATGCTCAAAAAAAGAATCCTTTTTTCAATATAATAAACAATCTTATTCTATTTTTATGTAAAACATTTACATACTATATTGTTAAATATTATAATTATTGAATTAGCACAATGGAAATAATATTTATGTTAATGATACATTATACCATTCCTTCTTAAGATTATATGGTTCCATATATTTTTCTCATTCCTTTTTTTTTTTTGAGTTCAGATTTATGAGTATAAAAAGATAAAGACAAATATATATTACCATTTTGAAAACAGGGGAATACGCATAAAATATTATCACTTTTTACGACCAAAACTGGTACCATCATGATGCAAAGAAAAATATAGCAATATATGTAAAAACGTATAATACGTATATATATTGCTTCTAACGAATGCTATGTTGGAGTATCAATTCTGTTTCTTGAGAAGTACTAAAATTTAACCCCACATAGTTACGTTGCACTTTGAGGATATGTTTTCCAATTTTTCCAAATATATATATATTTTTTTGTATCATATGTTCATTTATAATTTGATTAAAATGACTTGTATTTATAACACAATTCAAAATATAAAAATACTAACGCCCTATGGAATCAACCTCTCTTAAGATGTAAATTAATATATATGTATATTTTTAATTTATGCATAAGTTAAGTATATATTTGCTTTTTGATAAAACTTTAATTATAATTTACATAGATAATTTTAATTCTACACATATGTAAACTGTCTTTATCAATAAA